GAAAATAAAATGTAAAAATGCAACTTAAGTTGAGAGGTCAGAGCTAGCAGTGTAGACAGGAAGTCACAAGTAAAGTCCTAAGGAAGGATGGACAATCTCAAAGAGAAGGTACTACTGGATGTGGATTGGGGGTTACAGGCCTATAATCCCAGCACTTGGGAGACCAAGGCAGGAAGATCACAAGTTCAAAATCAGCCTAAGCAACTCAACAAGACCTTGTCACAAAAGAGGACCACGAGGATAGCTTAGTGCTGGGCCCTTGCCTACTTTGTACACTGAGTTCAATCTCCGATGCCATTTTAAAAAGGTGCAAGTGGAGAGGACACTCAGCAGATCACTCCCCGCTACCGTCCAGTAACGCTGCCAGCCGGCACTGCCCTGAGCTCCGGGTCAGCTCTGGCGCAGCTCTGGATCTTGCACAGCCCGAAGGACATGGGGTCTCATCATTTCTCAGCCAGACGCTGCCCCACACCTCCACACCTCAACCCCTCCGCCGGCTGCTACCTGCGACTTCCTGCTCCCCTCTGCCCAGTAATCACTGACCCACTCTCACACCTGCAACCCACTTCCTGACACGGCCTTCACAGCCCAGCTAGCCACAGCTACCCTTGTGCAAAGCACAGCCTGAACGGCTGGCACATGTCTCTCAGTAGGAACTGTGACGGAACAAGAACGAACTCTCTCACAGCCCCTGGGGACATCCGCTGATAAGTTACAATCCAGAAGGCATCGCCCAAGGGAACTAGAAATGGTGTCTATGAAGAATTTAAGGCGGCAAATTTTTACAAAACTACAGACAAGCTGCGTTACTCAAAGTACTTTCCCCAGAATCTCCACTGGAATACTTTCTTTACACACCTAAATACCCATAAAAGATTTAGTATTATGCTAATTTCCCAGAAACCATCCTGCTGGAGTTACCTGTGAGCTTAATAAGACCACATTCACAGCACTGGGTAAAGATCACTCGATGTGAAAAGGTGAAACAATTCCGTGTGGTAACAGCTAAAGCACCTACAGCCAATTACAACTGTAAAATTAAATTAATTTACCAGCAAATGATGAATAAATTCTGTGACCTTTCATAAGACAGCACTTTATCCTTGAACAAATCTGTGGGAAACAATTCCTTTTTGCCTAAGTCAAAAATATTATCTTCTACTTGGAGAACGTAGAACACAGACACACTCCGCAGGAACGTCTAGCTGGTTATGTTTCCCAGTAAAAATGTCTCTGGCTTGACACAGTACTCAGTCACAGAAGATACAACTGTCTCAACGGGAAGTTTTTCAAGCCAGGTTTAAAAGGAGAAACACACACTTCTCTCCCAAAACCTCAATGCATTCTTAACAAAACAACATTCAAGAAAAGTACTCAGTGCTCTCCAAAGGCAAGGGGCAGGGTGTCAGAAGCATGTGTTCTTTGAAAAGGACACGCAGACCGAGAGGGCGGGCACGCTGCAGCAGGTGGGCAGAGGCGCCGGCCTCACTGAGCACAGAGCAACTGCTGCTCGCCAGCACTTGGCATCCCTGGACAGTAGGACATTAGCAATTGTGAGCTACTTGGGACCTTAAACCTCTAACACTTGTTTTTCTCTTTCTTTTCTTAGTACTGAGGATCAAACTCAGGGTCTTGCTCATTGTAGGCAAGCTCCCTACCACTGAACATCCTTAGGTGCTACACAAGGTGTCTCACTGAGTTTTACTGCATTTCAGTTACAGTGAGAACTGGATGTGCACTGGGTTGAAATATAACCTTCTGTAACTGTACTTATTTACAATAATGAGAAAACCATGGAATCAAATTAACGTCAGCAGTAACGGAACAAATGTACATATCTCCTGACAGTGCACTGGAATAGAACATCCCATGTCAAAAGTAATCATCTGAAAAAAAGAGACACACCCAAACTAAAAAGTATCCAATAGAGCAAGGACGGTGAACCTGTCAGAGCTGTCAGTCACACACAGCCCGCAGCAGCACCTGTGCCAGGCTCACCACCACGGCCACAGGGTAACTGGCTCACAGTACTCAAAAGTGTCAAGGCCAAGCTGCAGGTGACGATGCATGCCTAATCTCCGTACTCGGGAGGCTGAGGCAGGAGGACTGCCGCAAGTTCAACGACAGCTTGAACTACTTGGTGACACCCTGTCTCAAACCAAAACCAAAATAAAAGTCAGGTTCAAAAAAAAAGAGTCACGGCCAAGGAACGGTAGCCCATGCCTACAATCCCAGCAAGGGACGGCTGGATCAGGAGGATCACAAGTTTGAGCTCAGCCCAGGCAACTTAGGCACTTAGCAACCCTGTTGTTAGGGGAAAAAAGGAAAAAACAGAAAGGTAGGAGCTCAACAGGACAGGTTCACTTCAGAACAACCCTGAAGGGGACCGGCCTGCCACTTGACCATCACTGTCATCCTGGCTAAGGACTTTCACACTGGGTCACAGGCATAAAGGGGCTGTGACAGGAAAAGGTCCGAACGGACTTCCGCGGGGGAGTTCAACGCAAAGGCGCTGCAGGGACCTGCCAGGGACCAGGCTTGCGAAAGCAGGGAGCAGTGGCTGCTTGTCGAAAGCAGGGCTGAGAAACGGTGTTTACAGGGTGTAGCTGTCCTCCCTGGGCCTTATTATCCTACAAATATACATCTTTAACAGGTGTAAAATCATGCCAGGGGAAAGAGGATTCCTTCACCTGTCTCAAAATTGAAAACAAAAATGGTAAGCCGGGCATGGCGGCACACACCTGTAATCCCAGCACGTGGGAGGCTGAAACAGGAGGATCCTTATGAGTTTGAGACCAGCCTGGGTTACAAAGTGAGCTCAAGGCCGGGCTGAACTGCATAGCAAGACCCTGTCTCAAAAAGACAATAAATAAATGAGTAAATAAATAAATAAAAATGGTTTGGGAGCCAGCCACGGTGGCACACACCTGCAATCCCAGCACTTGGGAGGCTGAGGCAGGAGGATCTGAGTTCAAGGCCAGCCTGAACTATAGTGAGAACTTGTCTCAAAAAAAAGGGGTGGGGAGATAGATGAAACTGGATTTAATCCCCAGCACTGAAGAAAACAAAGTCTATAAAGAGATTAAGCAACTACTCCAGATTAAAGGAGACAGAAAAATAAATCCTGGAAACAAAGTATAATACGTGATTCAATGTTCGATACAAGACCAGAAGAATTTTTATTTTGCTATAAATACTAGTGGGAAAACTAGCAAAATTTGGGTAAGATGTATGGATTAAATAAGATTGTTACATCAACACTAATTCAATTCCTGTACTGTGACTATGTAAAAGAATATCCTTAGGTCTTGAACAACTTCTCAAAGTTTTCAGAAAAAAAATATGCACTAAGAAAAAGAAAACACTGTCACTTAGGGAATCCAGTGACATGTATAAATAAATTCTTTGGGGGGAGGTTTCTTTGAGACAGTGTCTCACTACATATAGTCCAATCTGGCCTTGAAATAGCAAGCAACCACTTGGTGGTTGAATTCTTTACGTAACTTTTCTGCAAGTCTTAAATATTTACAAATTGAAGTTAATATATAAACTACAGACTTACATGTAGTGTATTCCTACAAACATCGACCCATTGGGAACAGAATTAAAAGGGAAATCCCCTTATATTTTACAGTGTCTTTCAAAGCTGATTCAGTTTGGTCTGAAGAGTTACCTGATTACAATCCAGCACGCTTCTTGCCACAGATCTGGGGTGATTTCATCATCATCCTCATCATATTGCATATCTGCAAAAACAAAAAAACGGCACTCATCTGCAACAAAATGCCATGAGCTGGGCTGGGCATGCAGCTCAGTGGAGCAGTCCTCACCAAGTGTACCTGATGCCCCGGGCTTCATACCCAGCTCTACAAAACAGCAACAACGACAAATTAAAATTTTTTTAAAAAGCCACTAGTTAATATCTTGCTTGTAGGACTTACAGTAACAGAAATACACCTATTTTCTGCCAAAGAAAAAGCAATCCTTTCACCTCACTTTTCTAAAATTTCAGGTAAACATAGTAATGAAATGTATGTGTCTCCATGACTTAGGTATTCTTCCACTACAAAAAGGTTTATCACATTGGGGGCTGGGGATTTAGCTCAGCAGCACAGCACCTGCCTGGCAAGTACAACATCGTGAGTTCGATTCCCGGTTCCAGACAAAAACAAACAAACAAAAAAAAGGTTTACCACAAAGGTTCAATGTAAATTGTGTGAATTTCCAAGTCTGCCATCTTCCCAGAAAGTCCACACGATTCTCACTTATAACCTTGAGAACCCGGTGAAAGCGCAGGCTCTTCTGACCATGCTGCTCCTCACAACTGAGGCAGAGACCCAGGCAAGCAGGCAGGCCAGAAAGGGCCCCAGTGGGCACTCTGGGGGAGGGCTGCAGCAGCAACAGCCACGTCTCTCCTCCCACCTGCCCTTCCACGCCCTGACCCCGATGCTCTGAGAGGCCACAGAGATCCTCTCCTGGAGTCTGGGTAGCTTCTCAACTCTCCTGTGGACAGGAGAGGCCGCTGGAATAAAGCTGCATGGCTGCAGGAGTAGGTCAGAAAAGGCAATGCAGGTTTTATCTTGTTTGCTCAAACATCTGCTTCTCAAGCTCTGAATTGCTTTTTAAAAATCCTGCTAGCAGGGGCTGGGGATTTAGCTCAGCGCCAAAGCGCCTGCCTGGCAAGCGCAAGGTCGTGAGTTCGGTTCCCAGTACCGGAGAAAAACCAAAAAAAAAACAAAACAAAAAAAAATCCTGCTACCATGCCCAGTATAGTGGCATGACCTGTGATTCCAGCACTCAGGAGGCTGAGCCAGGAGGAGCACCATGAGTTCAAGGCCAGCCTGAACTACATAGCTGAGACCCTGTCTCAAAAAAGAAAAAGCAACAACAAAAATCCCGCTACCAGCCAGGTGTGTCAGCACCGCCTGTCATTCCGGCACTCTGGGAAGCTGAGGGACTAGGATCACAAGTCAAACCTAGCCTGAGCAATTTAGTGAGACCCCTTCTCAAAATAAAAAGAACGGGTGGGGGTTGGCGTAGCTCAGTGCAAAGGTCCCGGGTTCAGTCCCCAGTAACAAAAGAAAAGGCGTGGCTGGGTATGGTGTCCCCTACCTATAATCCCAGCACTCGGGAGGCTGAGGCAAGAGGAGTGCTGCGAGTTCAAGGCCAGCTTGAGCTACAAAGTAAGTTCAAGGTCAGTCTGAACTGCATAGTGAGACCCTGTCTCAAAATGACAAAAAAAAAAAAAAAGGTGTACTACTATGAGGCTGGTACCCTGTGAGGATGCCCAAACCATAAGGGAAAGCTGCTTACAGTACTATGATGGTACCAGACAGTGAGGAAACCCTCCAGGGCCTAGTGGTCACATCAACCCTCAGCCTTCCCAGCTAAACAAAAGACCCTGGGGGGGCGCGGGCAGAGACAGCCTGTGCCTACCATGCCCTCCACACGCTTCAAACTCAGACTCCACCAACATCATGAAGTAATTCTTTTTAAATTTTCTTCCATTATAATGAAATCCATGCACAATGTTTGACATTAGGTCAGAAAAAGGATAAACCAGACAGTGAGACGTAGTTTAGCTTATTTTTATATTTTATTTTAGTCCTTTCCTCTAAAAATTTAGGCCAAGCGTGGTGGCACATGCCTGTAATCCCAGCACTCGGGAGGCTGAGGCAGGAGGATCCTTGCAAGTTTGAGACCAGCCTGGGCTACAAAGTGAGCTCAAGGCCAGCCTGAACTGCACAGTGAGACCCTGTCTCAAAAAAAAAAGGAAAGGAGAAAGCCCAGTCTTCCATAGCCAGAAAGAAAAGGGAGAGAAGGGTGCTACCACTCACTGAGATGGAGGACAGAGAAGAGCAGCTTTGGAAGGGGCTGGGCAGAAGCACTCAGGGAGCTCCATCTGGACCGGGGAGACATCCCAGGTGTCCAGTGGCAGTTAGGTTTGCGGGCCATCTGCACTGGAAACATACATTCCAAAGTCACCCACATGCAGATGTAACCAAGGCCTTGAAAAAGCTCCCAGGGAGCACCTGAGGAGACAATGAAACAGAGCAAAGCCAACAGGTCAGAAAAACCAAGCGGAAGTGACGAGGGGTTTCCAGGAGAAAGTTCTGAACAAGTCCGATACCAGAGTAGAGAGAAGATTTTAAATGTATCCATTAAGAAGACTGCACAGTCCAGGAAGAGCTGTTTTAATGCAGTAACGTGAGCAGAATCAGACTATACTGGAATAGGGACCTGGGACATGAGCCTGGAAGATGGAACTAGGCCTGCCTTTTTTTTTTTTTTTTTTTAAGAAATTTAGCCTTTTTTTCTTTTTTTTAAAGAAATTTAGCTGTGAAAGGAAGGAAAAAGTAAACCAGTAGAAGAAAAATGAAAAGAGATTTAACTTGTTTTCTTGCAGACAAGAGAGACCTGAAATTTTCATATAGAAAGAAGGCAGCTGAAGAGGAGCGGCTAGTACATAGCAAGACCCTGTCTCACAAACACACAGACAAAAAAAAAAAAAAAAAAAAAAAAAAAGAAAAGGCGGGTAGGGGATATATAGCTCAGCAGCACAAGCACCTGCCTAGCAAGCACAAGGTCCTGAGCTCAATTCCCAGTACCAAAAAAG